GATAGCATTGAGGAGTACACCACATCAGTCACTGGCTTCATCAATAAGTGCATCAATGATGTTGTCCCCACAGTGACCGTACGTACCCCAACCAGAAGCCATGGATTTCAGGAAACATCCGCACTGAGCTAAAGGGTAGAGCTGCCGCTTTCAAGGAGCGGGACTCTAACCCGGACACTTATAAGAAATCCCGCTATGCCCTCCGACGAACCATCAAACAGGCAAAGAGTCAATACAGGACTAATACAGGCGCACCGGTTTGTGTCAAGAACTGCAACGTTGCTGGGTTTTTCACGCTCAACAGTTTTCTGTGTGTATCAGGAATGGAACATGAACCATCAAACAGGCAAAGAGTCAATACAGGACTAAGATTGATCGTACTACACTGGCTCTGACGCTTGTCGGATGTGGCAGGGCTTGAAAACTATTACAGACTACAAAGGGAAGCACAGCCGCGAGCTGCCCAGTGACACAAGACTTCCAGACGAGCTAAACCACTTCTATGCTCGCTTCGAGGCAAGCAACACTGAAGCATGCATGAGAGCACCAGCTGTTCCGGATGACTATGTGATCACGCTCTCCGTAGCCGATGTGAGTAAGACTTTTAAGCAGGTCAACATTCACAAGGCCGCAGGGCCAGACGGATTACCAGGACGTGTACTCCGAGCATGTGCTGACCAACTGGCAAGTGTCTTCACTGACATTTTCAACATGTCCCTGACTGAGTCTGTAATACCAACATGTTCCAAGCAGACCACCATAGTCCCCGTGCCCAAGGACTCTAAGATAACCTGCCTAAATGACTACCAACCCGTAGCACTGACGTCTGTAGCCATGAAGTGTTTTGAAAGGCTGGTCATGGCTCACATCAACACCATTATCCCAGAAACCCTAGACCCACTCCAATTTGCATACCGCCCCAACAGAACCACAGATGATGCAATCTCTATTGCACTCCACACTGCCCTTTCCCACCTGGACAAGAGGAACACCTACGTGAGAATGCTATTCATTGACTACAGCTCAGCATTCAACACCATAGTGCCCTCAAAGCTCATCACTAAGCTAAGGATCCTGGGACTAAACACCTCCCTCTGCAACTGGATCCTGGACTTCCTGACGGGCCGCCCCCAGGTGGTAAGGGTAGGTAACAACACATCTGCCACACTGATCCTCAACACGGGGGCCCCTCAGGGGTGCGTGCTCAGTCCCCTCCTGTACTCCCTGTTCACCCATGACTGCATGGCCAGGCACGACTCCAACACCATCATTAAGTTTGCTGACGACACAACAGTGGTAGGCCTGATCACCGACAACGATGAGACAGCCTATAGGGAGGAGGTCAGAGACCTGGCCGTGTGGTGCCAGGATAACAACCTCTCCCTCAACATGACCAAGACAAAGGAGATGATTGTGGACTACAGGAAAAAAAAGAGGTCTGAGCACGCCCCCATTCTCATCGACAGGGCTGTAGTGGAACAGGTTGAGAGCTTCAAGTTCCTTGGTGTCCACATCACCAACGAACTATCATGGTCTAAACACACCAAGACAGTCGTGAATTGGGCACGACAAAGCCTATTCCCCCTCAGGAGACTGAAAAGATTTGGCATGGGTCCTCAGATCCTCAAAAAATTATACAGCTGCACCATCGAGAGCATCCTGACTGGTTGCATCACCGCCTGGTATGGTAACTGCTTGGCCTCCGACCGCAAGGCACTACAGAGGGTAGTGCGTATGGCCCAGTACATCACTGGTGCCAAGCTTCCTGCCATCCAGGACCTCTATACCAGGCGGTGTCAGAGGAAGGCCCTCAAAATTGTCAAAGACTCCAGCCACCCTAGTCATAGACTGTTCTCTCTGCTACCGCACGGCAAGCGGTACCGGAGTGCCAAGTCTAGGTCCAAAAGACTTCTCAACAGCTTCTACCCCCAAGCCATAAGACTCCTGAACAGCTAATCATGGCTACCCGGACTATTTGCACTGCCCCCCCACCCCATCTTTTTACGCTGCTGCTACTCTGTTAATCATTTATGCATAGTCACTTTAACTCTACCCACATGTACCTATTACTTCAACTACCTCAACTAGCCGGTGCCCCCGCACATTGACTCTGCACCGGTACCCCCCTGTATATATAGCCTCCCTACTGTTATTTTATTTTACTTCTGCTCTTTTTTTCTCAACACTTTTTTGTTGTTGTTTTATTTTACTTTTTTATTTAAAATAAATGCACTGTTGGTTAAGGGCTTGTAAGTAAGCATTTCACTGTAATGTCTGCACCTGTTGTATTCGGCGCATGTGGCCAATAACATTTGATTTGATTTGTTCAGTAAATATGTGTGACAAAAATAAATCATTTTGAAAGCTTTTTTCCCCCATTAAAACTGCCCAGGAGGGCACAATGTTCTGAACATTTCTGATGGAAATGTGACCCGTTCATTATCCATCCGCATATCCCGTCTGCCCTGTCCTTTCCTTGTGCTCAGTACTGTTCCAGTGCAATGTGGTTACGACGTTTCAGCCAATGAATGAACAGAGACCAGTGTTTACGACCTTTTTACGACAAAGGTTCTTTATTTGCGGTGTTTACACCCACGTCCTGCTCAATGCCAGAGATGCACAACGCTATAAAGTGGCAAACGAAATACAGAGTTGCAAATGGAAGCTTTGACGAGAGACGGTTAGTAATGTTACTCTCATAGAAACTAATTCCTTGTCGAGACTTGGCATACATTTGCTGTATAATTTTGTCTGTGAAAATGTGATGCACAAGCTCCATTGTTTACATTTTGGTGGCACGTTCTTTGAGGGTTTGAAGTGTAAAGCAAATAATCTCACGCGTCTGTAATATTTAGGGGCATATAAATCACATTTCCACCAATCTGAATTAGTTATCTGAATTAGTTTAGGGCTATAGGAGCAAACGGAACCAAAAGGGGAGGGACCTATACATTTTGTCCAATAGAAACTCTCGTTTCGTTGCAAAACGTTTTCCGTTTGGAGTAAATGGCTTCTGCTACAAAACGTTTTGCTACGGTTTTCGACTAAAGAATACATCCCTGACCTCTATGGCTGCGTTTATGATGTAAATGGAGCCTTAGCGATCCTTTCAAACACATTGGCTGGGACCAGGGCGGCGTTCAGCAGCACATACTGTTGGCCAACGTTCAGATAGAAATGTATGATGTAGAACAAACATACAGTACCAGTCAAAAGTTTGGACACACCTACTCATTCAAGGGTTTTCATTTATTTTGACTATTTTCTACATTGTAGAATAATAGTGAAGACATCAAAACTATGAAATAACACATATGGAATCACATAGTAACCAAAAAAGTGTTAAACAAATCAAAATATATTTTATATTTGAGATTCTTCAAAGTAGCCACCCTTTGCCTTGATGACAGCTTTGTACACTCTTGGCATTCTCTCAACCAGCTTCACGAGGAAAGCTTTTCCAGCAATCTTGACGGAGTTCCCACATATGCTGAGCACTTGTTGGCTGCTTTTCCTTCACTCTGCGGTCCAACTCATCCCAAACCATCTCAATTTGGTTGAGATCGGGGGATTGTGGAGGCCAGGTCATCTGATGCAGCACTCCATCACTCTCCTTGGTCTTGGTATATTTAAAAAAAGGATATGTATATATTTGTATGTATATGTATTTATATGTGTATATATATATATATATGTGTATGCGAGAGAAAAAACATATGGGGGATTGGAAGTGATGCAGACAATTACATTGACGGAAGTAACAAACTATCTGCAATATTAAAGCTGATCTACCCCCCTAAATTAAAAAAAAATTAAAATAAGAAATAGCCCTTACACAGCCTGGAGGTGTGGTGGGTCATTGTCCTGTTGAAAAACAAATGATAGTCCCACTAAGGCCAAACCAGATGGGATGGTGTATCGCTGCAGAATGCTGTGGTAGCCATGCTGGTTAAGTGTGCCTTGAATTCTAAATAAATCACTGACAGTGTCACTAGCAAAGCACCATTACACCTCCTCCTCCATGCTTCACGGTGGGAACCACACATGCGAAGATCATCTGTTTACCTACTCTGCTTCTCACAAAGACACGGCAGTTGCAACCAAAAATCTCAAATTTGGACTCCACTGATCTAATGTCCATTGCTCGTGTTTCTTGGCCCAAGCAAGTCTCTTCTTCTTATTGGTGTCCTTTAGTAATGGTTTCTTTGCAGCAATTCGACCATGAAGGCCTGATTCACGCAGTCTCCTCTGAACAGTTGATGTTGAGATGTGTCTGTTACTTGAACTCTGTGAAGCATTTATTTGGGCTGCAATCTGAGGTGCAGTTAACTCTAATGAACTTATCCTCTACAGCAGAGGTAACTCTGGGTCTTCCTTTCCTGTGGCGGTCCTCATGAGAGCCATTTTCATCATAGCGCATGATGGTTTTTGCGACTGCACTTGAAGAAACGTTAAAAGTTCTTGAAATTTTCCGGATTGACTGATCTTCATGTCTTAAAGTAATGATGGACTGTCGTTTCTCTTTGCTTATTTGAGCTGTCCTTGCCATAATATGGACTTGGTCTTTTACCAAATAGGGCTATCTTCTGTTAACCACCCCTACCTTGTCTCAACACAACTGATTGACTCAAACGCATTAAGAAGGAAAGGCATTCCACAAATTTATATTTAACAAGGCACACCTGTTAATTGAAATGCATTCCAGGTGACTACCTCATGAAGCTGGTTGAGAGAATGCCAAGAGTTTGAAGAATCTCAAATATATTTAGATTTGTTCAACACTTTTTTGGTTACTACATAATTCCATATGTGTTATTTCATAGTTTTGATGTCTTCACTATTATTCTACAATGTAGAAAATAGTAAAAATAAAGAAAAACCCTTGAATGAGTAGGTGTGTCCAAACTTTTGACTGGTACTGTACCTCTCTGGTAAATAGAATAAGGAATCACGTCAGCTCTAGTCATGGCATTTCTATCTGCAACGTTTTCGTACTGAACATGGCCCAGGGTTCTCAGTTGTCCCCACAGAGGTAGATCGAATCTGTGCCACAATGGCTTCTGTGACAGCTTTGGCAGCGCCATTGAGGGCTTTCTCCCCCTGTCATCTCTGTTATCCAGCTAACTTAATATATGCCTACAGTAGGTCCCCCTCTCCCCCTATCATCTCTGTTATCCAGCTAACTTAATGTATGCCTACTGTAGGTCCCCCTGTCATCTCTGTTATCCAGCTAACTGAATTTGTGTCTACAGTAGGTCCCCCTATCATCTCTGTTATCCAGCTAACTTAATGTATGCCTACTGTAGGTTCCCCTATCATCTCTGTTATCCAGCTAACTGAATTTGTGCCTACAGTAGGTCCCCCTATCATCTCTGTTATCCAGCTAACTGAATTTGTGCCTACAGTAGGTCCCCCTATCATCTCTGTTATCCAGCTAACTGAATTTGTGCCTACAGTAGGTCCCCCTCTTCCTCTATCATCTCTGCGTCTCCTGATCCCTCCACTGCGGCTGGTGTCTGCAGCTCTATGGCAAGTTGTTCAGCAGAGAGACATCATGGACTACGGGTTGGTGGAGGAGTTTGTCACCACTGTGTTGGAGATAGTCCCTGATATGATGAGTTACAGGGAGAGAGTCCAACTCATCATGGGACTTCGAGCACAGGTGAGAGATGGTGCTGATGATGAGTGGAGATGAAGGAGTCTCCAGAGTTACTCAACTCTCATCTCCTGATGTCAGTACACTGTTTCAGTTTTTCGTTGGCCCCACCCACCAGTCTAACTTTTACTCATTCAGCTGGTTCTGCAGTTGTGTCGCTCTGATCACCTAGCCAACCCTGAGACCATCCAGCCACACCTGAACAGGATGAAGACCTGTATCATCACTCATGGGGACAAGGAGGTTAGTGCTTCTCAGTGACAGATCAAGACTTGTAACTCTGCTGGTTAGTTTCATTTATTGACTGAGCTATCCATACTTGCTGTAGATTTCTGATCCAGAGGTGGAAGCGTCAGAGTCGAACTTCCTGAAGCTGATTCAAACTCTGCTGGAAGACCCAGTTGAGAAGGAACACTTCTTTCAGGTCAGTGTTGTAACTAAGGATCTGCTGATTATGATGATTTAGATTTTATTTTATTAGGATCTCTTTTAAGTCCTCATTCGGACTAATCTTCCAAGAGTCCTTGATGACGATGTTAACTCCAAGAGTGAATGGTTTTTACAAGGAAGTGAAACTCATTGTTAGATCAAAAAGTACTGAAACCCTCTATCTGCTTGTCTCCTAGAGCGTTTTTCCAGAGGAATTTGGCCCCAAGTATGACTCAGCACTGCAGACTCTGGTGTGGGAGTTCCTCTCCAGGCTGGAGAAGCTGCTTCCAACACCAACCCTTCAACAGGTACCATGCTAACATCTTATTACCTTTATCAGGTACCAAGCTAACATCTTATTACCTTTATCAGGTACCAAGCTAACATCTTATTACCTTCAACAGGTACCATGCTAACATCTTATTACCTTCATCAGTATACTGTCATACAAGTTGTTTTTAAAATTCACTGTACAAAGATATTTGTCCTTTTTTTAAATGCGCAAGTAATGGTAGACCAAGGGAAACCTTGGTATGTTTTAGGTTGGCTAAACCAAATGTTGTAATCTGTGAAAAATGACACACTCATTAAGTGGATAACTAGATGGTTACAACAGAGTGAAACGTGCCTAAAGACACATTTCTTAAAGTCGACTACATGTGTTTTGTGCATATGTTATAATAGAAATGGATACATTGCCTCTTTTTTTTTTTTAAAGCCATTCTCTTTCCATTAGACGGCATCATGGTTCCTACCTGACCCCTCCGTCCTGGAGGAGTGTGTGCAGTGTGTGTCCCACCCTCAGCCTTTGAAGACCCTTCTCCAGCACCACAACAACACATGTGGACACGTAGACACCAATGGTAGGAGAAATAGACTTTGGACAGGAAATAATGTTCTCAGATAGCCTGTAACATTTCCATGTTAGACACCAATGGTAGGAGAAATAGACTTTGGACAGGAAATCATTATCAGATAGCCTGTAACATTTCCATGTTAGACACCAATGGTAGGAGAAATAGACTTTGGACAGCAAATAATGTTCTCAGATAGCCTGTAACATTTCCATGTTAGACACCAATGGTAGGAGAAATAGACTTTGGACAGGAAATAATGATCCGATTATGAGACTTTTCTGGACCCCTTCTTCCTGACAGCTAAAGGTCCCAAAGCTTCTGTGCATGTGCAGGATTCTTTACTTTACGTACAGTCTCTGCTCTACTAGGAGAGAACCTCCCTTCACTTTGGACAGGAAAGAATGTTCTCAGATAGCCTGTAACATTTCCGTGTTAGACACCAATGGTAGGAGAAATAGACTTTGGACAGGTAAGAATGAAATAAATAATGTGGAGATTGAGCAAGTTGAGGTGACTAAACTGCTTGGAGTAACCCTGGATTGTAAACTGTCATGGTCAAAACATATTGATACAACAGTAGCTAGGATGGGGAGAAGTCTGTCTATAATAAAGCGCTGCTCTGCCTTCTTAACAGGACTATCAACAAGGCAGGTCCTAAAGGCTTTAGTTTTATCGCACCTGGACTACTGTTCAGTCATGTGGTCAGGTGCCACAAAGAGGGACTTGCAATTGGCTCAAAACAGGGCAGCATGGCTGGCCCTTTGATGTACACAGAGAGCAAACATTAATAATATGCATGTCAATCTCTCCTGGCTCAAAGTGGAGGAGAGATTGACTTCATCACTGCTTGTGTTTGTGAGAGGTATTGACATGTTGAATGCACCGAGCTGTCTGTTTGAACGACTGGCACACAGCTCAGACACCCATGCATACCCCACAAGACATGCCACCAGAGGTCTCTTCACAGACCCTAAGTCCAGAACAGACTATGGGAGGCACACAGTACTACATAGAGCCATGACTACATGGAACTCTATACCACATCAGGTAACTGATGAAAGCAGTAGAATCAGATTTAAAAAACAGATAAAAATACACCTTATGGAACAGCGGGGTCTGTGAAGCAACACAAACATAGGCACATGCACACACACACACGATAACATACACACTATACACACACGTACACATGGATTATGTGTTGTAGATATGTGGTAGTGGAGTAGGGGCCTGAGGACACACACTTGGTGTGCTGTGAAATCTGTTATGAATGTATTGTAACTGCCTTAATTTTGCTGGACCCCAGGAAGAGTAGCTGCTGCCTTGGCAGGAACTAATGCGGATCCATAATAAATACAAATGAGATTGAGACTTTTCTGGACCCCTCTTCCCGACAGCTAAAGGTCCCAAAGCTTCTGTGCATGTGCAGGATTCTTTACTTCACGCACAGTCTCAGCTCTACTAGTAGAGAACCTCCCTTCACATTTCTGACTGTCAGACGTGAATGACAATTCTTAAAGTTTTACCAGTGAAACGTCCATGCAGCATCTGCACACCAACTATTTCATCTCAATCCGTTTCATGGGGATATGCATTTAGAACTTCTTGAGTTGTACAGTGTTGTTTCGAATGATGTAGCCTACAGTGAGCATTATACTATGCTTAGTAACGTTATACTACGCTATCATATTGGGTTCTGTTATGTAGAATACTATAATTACGTGTAACTTGCAGACATTGATTCAGCTTTGATCTAACTTTTATTAAGCAAGCACCATTCGCCAGAGTAGCCTCTCTACGAGTAGAGGGAAGAGACTGTGGATAGAGTAGAGAATCACATGCACAGAAGCTTTGGACCTTTTAGCTGTTGGAAGAGGGGTCCAAGTCTGATCCGCAGCCACTCCATATGAGATATAACATTTCCATGTTTGCCTTTTTTTAAATGTTTTTTTTTATTTTAACTTTTCTTGTCATCATGTCCTCAGGTCTGTTTTCTGGCGACAATCCAATCCTAATCAAAGCTGACCCAGAGGTCCAATCAGAACCTGAGCAGCAATGTATGAGCCCCGTCTCATCTGACAGTGAGCCAGAGATGACCCCTTTGTTGGAACTGGGGATTAATTCAGACCGAACTGTAAATATCGACATGAATAAAGAGGTGGAGCCTGTTTCTTTAGAGGTAGCGCATATATACAATAAAACAACAGAGAAAAACATTGAACACAACGCACCAGGTAAAATGACAGTAAAAGAGATAAAAAATAATACATATTTTCACCACCTTCAAACTGACAGGCTGGAAATCCAAGGAAAAGCCCACAACAGCCAACAGGAAGTGCAGGACATTTCTAGTTTGTCTACTTCCTGTCGGCTCCGTCAGCCCGCAGTGATGCTGCACAGACTTGACATTACTGATATGCTGTTAACTGTGTCAGAGGTCTCTCTAACACCGAGGAGAGAGAGGCTTCAGATTGACAAATTGGGATCCCAAGGACCGAGAAGAGGACAGGTCATATCACAAAAGAGTGAGAGGAATGTCAATGAAGAGCCCTCTGATGGTCAACATCAGTATTCTTTGGCCGCTGACCCATCCCCCACCACAGGGCAGCCTAAAAGAAGCAAGCGTGTCAAAATATGCTCCTTGTGTGGAAAGACTTTCAGCGAAGCAAAGGATTTGACGGCACACATGAGATCTCACAACGAGCAGAGCCCTTACAAGTGCACCCAGTGTGGACAAGACTATGAGCACCATGAGGACTTACTGGCACATCAGCAGAATGTGTGTGAGGAGGCAGCTCAACCAGAAGAGGACAGCATGTCTACTGCATCTTTAAAGGAGGATAACATGTCTACGACATCTATGGAGGATCAGACGGAGCTAGCATGCACGGAGCTATCAGAGTCTTCCAAAGCCAGGACATGCCGCGTGTGTCACAAAACTGTCTATAGTAGAAATTATTTGAGAAAGCACCTGAAATCCCAACATGGTCAACTCCTGAAGATGCATAAGAAACTCGAAACGTTTTTCTGTTGCTCTCTGTGTAATAAGACCTTTGGATGCAGAAATGATTTGAGAAAGCACCTGAAATCCCAACATGGTCAACTCCTGAAGATGCATAAGAAACACAAAAATATGATCTGTTGCACTCTGTGTAATAAGTCCTTTGATCTTTCTGAGCCAAACGAGTGTGAGGTGAACCAACAGCAACTTCCCAGGAAGGCTCACCCAGAGGCCAACACACTTATAGCTGCAGTAGAACATGGGTTAGTGATACCACAGCCCTCAAGCACCACATGCCAGAACCCAACAACCTCCAATGCTCTGCCCATTCAGGCACAGTCCTACAATGACTACAGAACATGTCTTTTGTGCGATGAAACTTTCGATACTGCAGACACCATGAGAAAGCACCTAAGATTTCAACACAATATACTGTCTTACTTGTGCCACGATTGTGGGGAAAGTTTCCCAAGCAAATTAGATCTGCAGAAACACTCAAAGAATTGTTTGAGTATTCCAGATTCAAGAAAATGTCCTGAGTGCAGGAAAATGACTTCTCAAACAACACAGCCGCAGGAAAACATTTGTCAGGAGATGAACCAAAGACAACAGCAACTACCTGCAGGGGAAAATGAGATAGAGATCCTTCATTCCTGCAGCACAGACGTTACCTTCTCAAATTACTCGCAACAACACCAGCCAATAGAGTGTGAGGAGATTAACTTTCAGAGAAGACAGCAAGACTGGAGTGAGGAAGTTGATCCAAACCAGCATCCAGAGGAGGTTGAACCAGCAGACAGAAGCAGTTCTCTGCTTTCAAGGGAGAATGGGACAGAGATTCCCCAGAGCCATAGCACTTCACCCCAGAACCCAACAACCTCTGACGCTCCCCCTGCTGAGACACGGCCACCTGGCATCTCCCCCCCAGCCTCTCTCAAGTCTAGAACTTGCCCTTTGTGCTCTAAATGTTTTGCTTATAAAAAGACCATGATGCAGCATTTGAGACGTCACTCACAGGGTCAGGGACCCTTCATGTGCACCATGTGTTCAAAGAGCTTTGGTACCGCCGGTGATTTGAAGAGACATCAGGGAATTAAGAGCGGCTGTGGGCCAAATCATCGTAATCTTGTCGTACCTGAGAATGTTCCCACAGAAGAAAAAACGGTCTTCTCCTGCCCCCATTGTCAGGGACAGTACACAAGCGAAAAAAAAATGAAAGCACACATGGTATGTCACACAGGAGATGGGTTCACCTGTAGGTTTTGTGGCAAGATATTTGCTGAAGATAAGAAATTACGCAATCATGTTCGTTCTCATATTCACAGACGACATCTATGTGATACGTGTGGTAAAGATTTTACATCTCTGTCTAACTTGAAAAAACACACACTTGTACACACAGGAGAACGGCCATACATTTGCACAGATTGTGGCAAAAGTTTTACTCTGAAGGGTAACCTGAAAGTCCATCAACAGAGTCATACAGGCGAGAGGCCATTTGCTTGCACAATGTGTAAAGTGCGCTGTCTCACTCAGACAAGTCTAAAACGACATATGTTGAAGCACACAGGAGAGAAGCCTCATAAGTGTTTGGCTTGTGGGAAGACATTTCAACGGAAAAACACATTGAGGAAACATCAGCAAGCCTCGTGTTCTTAAGTTGTTGGCTTTTACACCTCCTTCTGAGATGCAGACTCAGTCATACCTTTTTCGCTCAACATTGATAACATTAGTTGATAACATTAGTTGATAACCTTAGTTGATAACATTAGTTGATAACATTAGTGGCTCGCAATTGGTTGTAGGTTCTAGTCTAGGCCTCCATCTTTTTGCTAATCCCTCTTTTTGCACATTTGTAACATCTAGCAGTTTTGTGCATTTTCTTTGTTGCTGTTTTGTCAGAAAAAGTTTTTTGTTGTTTCTTGTCAGCATTGGACAGCAACCCATTGACAATATCCTTTTACAAACTGCAAATGTAAGACTACAAGATAGATTGAAATAAGCACAACATAGGTAGACCGTATGCATTTTGAATGTAAACAAATATAAATTGTCACCCCTCCATTTTGTTATTGTGTTTAACAATGCTCATGTGTTGTGATCTTATTTACTATTATGTATTGATTTCTTCTTCAGTCTTTATAAGGTGCGCACTGCACAGAACACCGGAAGAATAATCACTGAATTATCACAGTGAATTATTGTAATGTTTGTTTATGTGTCAATTAATCATGTAAGGGATGGGTTGCCAACTGGCGATTTGACACAAAAAATAAAATGTAATTCATTCGTCATACGCCACAATCTGTCAGCCTATAACCAAACATTCATTACTGGATATTTGTTGCAGGGCTCATAGTTCAGTAAATATGTCTGATTTTAAAATGAGTCATGTTGGATGTCTGATTTAAAATGAGTCATGTTGAAAGCCTTTTCCCCACACATCTCTGCCCAGGAGGGCACAATGTTCTGAACCTGTCAGATGGAAATGTAACCCGTCCATGATCCGTCCATTCCCCGTCTGCCCTGTCCTTTTCCTGTCCCAGTACAGAAGGTGGTAGTGCAACTTCGGTTACGACGTTTAAGCCAATGAATGAACACAGACCAGTGTTTACGACCTTCTTACGACAAAGGTTCTTTATTTCCTGTGTTTACCCCCCATTGAAGTAGACATTTTAAATTGGTTAGGGACGTCCTAAGGATCCCGGATAGCACTGACCCACCCAAGTCCTGCTCAATACCAAATCAAATTTTATTGGTCACATACACGTGTTTAGCAGATGTTATTGCAGGTGTTGCGAAATGCTTGTGCTTCTAGCTCTGAAAGTGCGGTAATATCTAACAAGTAATATCTAACAATTTCCCAACATATACCCAATACACACAAAGGAATGAATTAAGAATATATAAACTCAGCAAAAAAAGAAGCGTCCCTTTTTCAGGACCATGTTTTTCAAAGATAATTTGTAAAACTCCAAATAACTTCACAGATCATTGTAAAGGGTTTAAACACTGTTTCCCGTGCTTGTTCAATGAACCATAAACAATTAATGAACATGCACCTGTGGAACGGTCATTAAGACACTAACAGCTTACAGATGGTAGGCAATTAAGGTCACAGTTATGAAAACTTAGGACACTAAAGAGGCCTTTCTACTGTCCCTGAAAAATACCAAAACTTAAGATGCCCAGGGTCCCTGCTCATCTGCGTGAATGTGCATTGGGCATGCTGCAAGGAGGCATGAGGACTGCAGATGTGGCCAGGGCAATAAATTGCAATGTCCGTACTGTGAGACGCCTAAGACAGCGCTACAGGGAGACAGGACGGACAGCTGATCGTCCATCCAAACATCACACCTGCGGGACAGGCACAGGATGGCAACAACAACTGCCCGAGTTACACCAGGAATGCACAATCCCTCCATCAGTCAGACTGAGAGCTTGTAGGCCTGTTGTAAGGCAGGTCCTCACCAGACATCACCGGCAACAACGTCGCATATGGGCACAAACCCACCGTCGCTGGACCAGACAGGACTGGCAAAAAGTGCTCTTCACTGACGAGTCGCGGTTTTGTCCCCCCCTTTGTTCAGGGACACATTATTCAATTCACATGTCTGTAGAACTTGTTCAGTTTATGTCTCAGTTGTTGAATCTTGTTATGTTCATACACATATTTACACATGTTAAGTTTGCTGAAAATAAACGCAGTTGACAGTGAGAGGACGTTTCTTTTTTTGCAGAGTTTACAAATATGGACGAGCGATGTCAGAGTGGCATGGACTAAGATACAGTAGAATAGTATAGAGTATATACATATGAGATAAGTAATGCAAGATATGTAAACATTATTAAAGTGACTAAGATACCGTAGAATACTATAGAATACAGTATATACATATGAGATGAGTAATGCAAGATATGTAAACATTATTAAAGTGGCTAGTGTTCCATTTCTTAAAGTGGCCAGTGATTTCTAGTCTATGTCTATAGGCAGCAGCCTCTAATGTCCTAGTGATGGCTGTTTAACAGTCTGAAAACGTCTAAAAACTGGGAGTTGAGTTTGAGTCCATCTTCAACCCGAAAAGGTCCAACTAGCTCAACTTTAATAATACCAGCCCATACCAGTACCCCACCTACACCTTGCTGGCGTCTGAGTCGAAGTGGAGCTCCGTGCCCATTACTGATCCAGCCACGGGCCCATCCATCTGGTCCGTCAAGAGTCCCTCTCATCTCATCAGTCCATAAAACCTTTGAAAAATCTGTCTTCAGATATTTCTTGGCCCAGTCTTGACGTTTCAACTTATGTGTCTTGTTCAGTGGTGGTCGGGTTTCAGCCTTCCTTACCTTGGCCATGTCTCTGAGCACTGAACACCTTGTACTTCTGGGCACTACAGGTAGGTTGCAGTTCTGGAATATGACAGCACTGGAGGATAATGGATTCCTGGTAGCTTCACGTTTGATTCTTCTCAAATCTTTGGCAGTTCATTTGCATATTTTTTTTCTCAACACGGTTCTTGCAACCCTGTTGACTATTTGCAACACAACGTTTGATGGTTCTGTGCTCACAATGTTTGACTTTTCAGAGTCGGTTAAATCTATTTTTTTGGCCCATTTTGCCTTAGGAAAAGAAGCTGCCTAATAATTATGCACACATTGATATAGGGTGTTGATCTCCTTAGGCCACACCCTCCCTCCTTACACAAATACACATCACCTGATATGCTTAAATCCAATAAGCATTCTAGTTTTATACAGCTTGAAGTTGGGAAATATGCATAATAATGATGATATGGTCAAAATATTGACTAGCCTAATAATTGTGCATACAGTGTATAATGGAGGAAAATTATCTTGGGAGATAATACGGTCGTCATTTGATTATGAGGTATTTTAGGTTGGGTGAACAGAAGGACTGAACAGAAGTTCCTGTATGTTACTACAATTACACCATAAGTCGTTAATCATGAAACACACACCTCCGCCCTTCTGCTTCCCGGAGAGATATTTATTCCTATCTGCGCGATGAACTGTGAATCCCTCTGGCTGGACCGATTCCGACAGAGTATACAGAGAGAGCCATGTCACCAGAGATGCCAAACAGGTGCAAGCAGTGTGCAGGAGGGAGATGTAAGAAGTGTGCAGGAGGACATGAGACAAAGAACGTGTAGTATTGGTGGACAAAGTTGTGTGTGTAAACTGTAAGGGGTGAGAGAACGACAGGTTGAGGATCAGAGTAGTGCAGAAGGTATGAAGAGAGTATTAGAGGAAGATGGATCCTAAGAGGAGCCCTGTGAGTAGGCCGAGGCCAACAGAGTGATAGGAACAACGTGCCTCAGTAAGGTTGGTTTTTTTGGCGTTCGTGGCCATGGTTGTCAATTGTACCGCAGGAATGGAATGTAAATCACAGAGGATAGATGTTGTGGTGGCAGCTGCAAAGAAGTACTTGGGTTGTATGAGATTTTACAAGATGTTTTGATCGATAGTGTCCCGTCCTCCAAGGCTGCTAGCCTGGAGTAGGATCAGACAGGAACGGTCTGAAAGTAGTGGAATAGTGGTGAGGTTTTAATGGGTGCATGGATAGTTGGTAGGGCAATATTTTTCACAAAGTGTAATGCATTCATACTACAGAATAGTAGGCTGATACACAGCCAGCACAGTAGGTGGTGGTATGCACCTAGAACATTTGTTTGCAGACCGCCATAATACCAAAGAAGAAGAAGAAGAAGCTATAGGGGGCAAACGAAATACAGTTGCAAATGCAACAGCATTGGATGGAAGCTTTGACGCGAGACTGTTAGTAACGTCGCTCTCATAGAAACTTGTTCCTTTTCGAGACTTAGCATAAAGTTGCTCT